GCATAATATATTCTGCTCCAGCCTTTTACCTTTACCCTGTATGTGTCACTCTTTTTCAAATGTGTTTCCTGTAAACAACATATTGTAGGATTATGGTTTTTAATCCATTCTGCAATCCGTTTCCGTTTTATGGGAGAGTTCATCCCATTCACATTCACAGTTATGATTACTATCTGTGTCTTTTTCTCCATCCTTTCCCCCCATTTATGCTTTTCTTTCTCCTTTTTCCTTTCTTCACTAGTGTTTTGCTTTTGACCACTGCCTCCTTCAGTCCCTTCCCCTTTTATTATCCCTTTCCCTTTTCTTCCCCTTTAGTCTTACTGCTTCTTCCCTCCCTTCTTTCCCCCTCCCTTTTCTTTCCCCTTTTCCCCTCCTACTGCCTATAGGGCAAGTTAGATTTCTATACCTAACTGATTATATTATGCCCTTCTTGAGCCAAATCTGATGAGAGTAAGGTTCAAACAATGCTCCCCCCTTCTTTCCCTCTGCTGTAATAGGATTTTGTGTCTTTTCCTGTAATGTAATTTACCCTTGTCTGCCTCCTCCTTTCTCAGTACATTTTCTAAGATCAGATTGATCCACTTATTTGGATCCATTTAACCCACTTGATTAGATTTTTTTTTTATCATTACATCAAAGTCAACTAATATCCACCCTCTTTATGTATACTCCTTTAACAAGGTGTAATAACAATACAGTTCTCAAGGGTTGCAAGTCTCATATTCCCTTGTAGGGGTTTAAACAGCCCCCCCTTATTAACAACATATTGTATCCTTCTGTCCCATTTACCTTTTTAAGTCCTTCTTGAGTCCTGTACTTGAAGATCAAATTTTTTGTTGAGCTCTGGTCTTTTTATCAGGAAAGTTTGGAAGTCTCCTATGTTGATGAATATCCACCTCCTCCCTTGAAAAATGATGCTCATTTTTGCTGGGTAATTGATCCTTGGCTGCATTCCAAGCTCCTTTGCCTTAGGAATATCATGTTCCATGCCCTGCGTCTTTTAATGTAGAAGCTGCAAGGTCCTGTGTAATCCTGACTGTGGTTCCATGATATTTAAATTGTTTCTTTCTGGCTGCTTGCAGCACCTTCTCTTTCATCTGGTAATTTTGGAATTTTGCTATTATATTCCTTGGTGTTGTCAATTTGGGATCTCTTTCAGGTGGTGATCGGTGGATTCTTTCTATGGTTATTTTCCCTTCTGGTTCTAGGACTTCTGGGCAGTTTTCCTTTATGATTTCCTGAAAGATACTGTCCAGGCTCTTTTTTTCATCATGATTTTCAGGTAGTCCAATAATTTTTAAATTGTCTCTCCTGAGTCGATTTTCCAGGTCGGTTGTTTTACTGATGAGGTATTTTACATTTTCATCTATTTTTTCATTTTTTTGTTTCTGTTTGACTGATTCTTGCTGTCTCATAGAGACATTAGTTTCCATTTGTCCAATTCTAGTTTTTAACAGATTGTTTTCTTCTGTTAGTTTTTGTACTTCCTTCTTCAACTGGCCAATTGTGTTTTTTAGGGACTTGTTTCTTCAGTGTACTCTTCTGTTAGTTTTTGTCCTTCCTTCTTCACTTGGCCAATTGTGTTTTTTAGGGACTTGTTTTCTTCAGTGTATTTTTTTTCCAATTGGCAAATTGTATTTTTGAAGGACTCTTCTACCTCTCTCATTTGACTATTGAAATCCTTCTTGAGCTCTTCTAAGAAGGCTTTTTGGGCTTCAGACCAGTTCATATTCCCTTTTGTTGTTGCAGATGTGGGTTTGTTGACAATGTTGTCCTCTTCAGAATTTCTGTCTTGATCTTCACTCTTCTCATAATATGAATCTATATACGTTTCTTTTTACTCATGCTGTTTCTTTATTCCCTGGCCTTTAAAGAGATTGAGCTCTCCTGCTGGGGAACAGAGGGCACTGACCCAAGCTTCTTTTGTTGGGAGCCTAGGTCTTGGTCACTGGCTTTGCGTGCTGGGGCCTCTTATGCTGGCAATTGGACACTGCGAGTTTCTCCAAAAGACCACATATTTGAATTGTAAATATCTGAGTAGCCCAACCAAAGAAAAGAGCCATATGTGAATTTGTCATTCTCTACCACCTTCCCTATCTTCAAATGCCTATCACACATTTCTAGTGAAAGACCTAAAGTTTGTAAAGGAAACACTGAAAACAGAGATAAAGAGAAAATACATTAAGAATTACAACAAACAACAATGGTAACAACTATGGATTGAACATCATTTGAGGTTAGCAAGAGAAATTTTTAAAAATCATGTTGTCAATAAGAAGAATTTTCAACATCTTTCTAGCTACTTCATACTCCTCTGAATGAATCAGTTGGGAAAACTCCTAAGCGATATTTGCAAAAGAATTTGCAACTTTAAAATTCCCTCATCATTAGCTCCTTGGGTATTGATGTCAAATTTAACATCTTCTAGATCATCAAGATTACTTTCTTGATGTCAAATAAATGTTCAAATGTGAAAGGGAGACAGCTGTAATATAATGGAAATAACAAGAATAAGTGGGTTTGATAAGACTCCAATGGTGACTTCACTGCTAGGTCTATGATTTTAAGCAAGTTCAGTTTTCTCATTGAAAAAATGGATTGGTAACCTTTAAGGTCCCTGCCAGGGCTCACACCTATGATATGGAGGGGTTTTTTTTTGACAAACTCATTTGTTTCAGGTTTGGGGGGGGCATATTTTCTGTAGCAGCTAAATTGGGGCAGTAAGCTTCCTTCTGTTCCAAAGTCATGATCCCTCCCCCAAGCCCAATCAGTTATCTCAGAGGAATGTGCCCCTGGATGCAAGAAAGAGAAAGTATGGATAAAGTGAACCAAATCCATGCCTACAATTTAAAAAAATGTACATTTACTATTACTGGTGAATGGATACCATTATTTTTGTATTCCAAAGATAGCAAATAATTTGATATATTACCAAAATATGAATGATTGAACCTCAAATTAGTTTGTAAATAAATGTGACGGTGAAAGAACTAATTAGAACAAAAAGGGTATGCTAACACCATTTTGTCAGAGAAGACTGAGGCAACCAAAAGCAGAACAGAAACAAATGCCTTTCTTAAAATACCTGGGTAAAAAATACACTGACAATCAAACCCTCGGGCCAGGTTATACATAGTACTTCCTCTTTTCTCACTTGCTTCTGGAGTGAACAGCTTAAAAAAGTATCTTGCTTCATCCAGTACACAGCAACCCTGTTCTCATGGTGGAAATACTCCAGAAACAACAGTCTAAAAATTACTTAATTCATATTTAAAAGGAAGTCCTGATTTAATTCAATTTATGTAATGCTTCAAAATGGTTTACAATAATACCCTTCTATAGAGTATCAGTTCTTGAAACTATATTAAAAGCAAGCAAATACTATGTGTAACTTGTTTGTTGAATATGTTACAGTGCATATGATTATAGAACTGAGCATTTAGTTATAGTAAAAGTTACAAAACTAAAGATATAACACTAGAGGAAGAAAAATAATGGAAAAAATTCATGTAAAACAACAGTAGATCAATGAGTATTAATTTTTTTTAAGGCAATTTGGGGTTAAGTGACTTGCCCAGGGTCACACAGCTAGTAAGTGTCAAGTGTTTGGTCTGAGGCCAGGACTTGAACTCAGGTCCTCCTGACTTCAAGGGCCAGTGCTCTATCCACTCTATCACCTAGCTGCCCCAATGATTATTAAATTTTATGAAAGCTGTATTCAAATCTTTAGGAAAAACAATTTACCATTTTTGGGGAGAAAAAAATGTTTTCTTGCATTCCTTCAAATCAGGAACTTTTGTGAAAGAGACTGGGGAGACACTCTCAACAATACCTAAGAAAATATTCTCTAAGCCTTCTCCCTAGTGCCAGAAGTGAGAACATCAACTTTGAGTGCCGTTTAGCAGTCTAGACAAGCTGCTGGTGAAACCCTGCAGTTGAAGAAAAACAATTTTAAAGGGAATCACTGTCAGGATACCTCTGCTTCAAGTGGTTTATCCTTAGTCAGCCTGGGACAAAATCTTAGGCCCAATGGCACAGGTATCCCAGAAGTTATCAAAAGTAGCATGGACCTAAGCATGGGAGGGGGTGAGGGCGGGATAGACATACATACATACATACATACATACATGTGTGAGTGTGCGCGCACCTGAGTGTGTATTATACTATATGTAAACAGATTTTCCCATTCATCCTTTGTCCTATGTATTTGATAGGGCCAGGAGTAGGCAAAGTAGATATTGTAAGAAAAGCAGTTCCTCTGCTGGCGAAATAAAAAATGTGTTCAGTATGCAGTGGTCGTGGTACTAGTACTACCACGACCACTACTATTGCTACAACTAAAACAACAACAACAACTACTACTACCACTGTTACCACTACTACTACCACTATTATTACTACTACCACTACTACTACTACTACTACTACTACTATTATCACTACTACCACTACTGCTGCTGCTGCTACTACCACCACCACCACCACACCACCACCACCACCACCACCACCACCACCACCACTACTACTACTACTAAGCAGTTACCAGGTAATGTTTTACATGTTTTATCTCATTTGAAGCTCACAACAACCCTGGGAGGTAGGTGTCATATTATTAGCCTTATTTTACAGAGAAAACTGAGTGTGAGACAGGTTAAGCAACTTACCTCAGGATCATACCCTTAATAACTATTTGAGGCAGGATTCCAACTCAGGTCTTCCTTACTCTAAGTCTAGTGCTCTCTCTATGATATCACTTACATACCTAGTTACAGTACATATCTATAGGATATCCCGAAAGTCTTCGTGCAGTTTAAAACTCTTAAAATCTTAAAATTGCACTAAGGTTTTGTGTCATAACTCGTCAAATCCAAACTTATCGAAAACTTCTAAATTAACTTATTGTAGACATGAGTGCTATCCGATATCCATAAGTACAATTAAAATGTCATGTTATATCTTAGCTAAATCAATCAGACAGACACAACAGGTAATGGACTCACTTGTCAGACTCAGGGAACAGGTCACAACTCTGAAGTTTTGAGAGAGCAAGGTGGAAATGATGCACTTTAAAAAAGAAAAAAATGGGGCAAGAGTGAATAGGTTACAAATTTAAATACTGTTATTGTTTGTTCATCAAGATACTTTCTCCCTAGCATTTTCACCTAGTGTAGCTTACATATGGTTTATTCTACAGTGAGAAGGCAGTGATCCAGTTCAGTCAGAATCAATCTCACAAATGCTCCACGTTAACCACAACATTTGTAATATCCAATAAATTCATGCTTTCTGATTTTTATCTTGAGCAAAAACACAAGTGACAAAGTCTGATAACAATCTAGTTATTCTGATACAGTTCCTGTCCAAAAATAACAATCAATATTCATGGAGTTGCAGTGACTACCTCTAGGTATACTGACAAACTTTCTATTGATGTTAAAAGATAGCCATCTATGTCTCATTGTAATATAATATAATAAAATTAAACTCTGAAAAGAACAGGCCTTAAAGTCTTACTGCCTTTTTTGTATCCATTTTACTTCCTATGATCTTTGGTCATAAACTCTTCTCTTATCCACTGATTTGATGGGTAAATTTTTCCATGCTCCCCTAATCTGCTTATGATATTACCCTTTATGTCTAAATCACGTACCCATTTTGACCTTATCTTTGTATATGGTTTAAGATGTTGGCCCATGCCTAGTTTATTTACCGAACCGCTTTCCACTTTTTCCAGCTATCTTTCTCAAATGGCAAGTTCTTGCCCCAAAGGCTTGGATCTCTGGGTTTATCAAACACTAGATTACTATGGTCATTTATTGCTGTGTATTGTATACCTAATCTATTCCATTGATCCACCACTCTATTTCTTAACACCAGATTCTTTTTACTGCTTTGTAATATAGTTTGAAATCAGGTACTGCTAAGCTACCTTTCTTCACATTTGTTTTCCACTGATTCCCTTGATATTTTTGACGAACAGGCAGTCTTCTCAGGATGAAATCCAAGATAACAATAGTTATATTTCTTTTAAACGTTCCAAATCACTAATAATTAGAAAATTGCAAATCAAAGCAACTCTGACATTCCAACCCACTCCCATCAGATTGGTCACAAAGTTGACAAGTATGGAAAAATGCCAAATGCTGAAGCGGGCATGGGAAAACAAGCACATTAATGCACTGTTGGTGGAGCTGTGAATTGGTACAGCCATTATGGAAAGGATTTGGTACTAAACTGCGTACTCTTTGATTTAGCAATATAATTACCAGACCTACACACTAAAGAATTCTAAGGAAAAAGTACTCATGTGTACAAAAATATTTAGAACAGCTATTTTTGTAGTGGCAAACTACTGGAAACTAAGGGAGTGATCATCAATTGAAGAATGGTTAAACAAAATCAGTATATGGATATAATGGATACTATTGTGATGTAAGAAATAATGAAAGGAATGGATTCAGAGAAACTCAGGAAGACTTGTATGAACCAAAGGCAGAGTACAGTGAGCAGAACCAGGACAACAATTTATACAAAGGCAACAACAATGTCAATCATTCAGTCAGTGGACATCTGTTAAGCACCTACTATGTACTGGGCACTGTGCTAACAACTGGGGATAGAAAAGAAGACTCGGGATATAAAAGACAGCTCCTGTCCTCAAAGAGCTCACAGTCTAATGGAGAAGGCAAACAAATATGCATAGACAAGCTGCATACTGGGCAAATAAGAAATAATTAACAGAGGGAAGGCAGTAGAATTTAGAAGGGTTGGAAGATGGGATTTTAGATTGGACATAAAGGAAGCCAGGGAAGGCAATAGGTAGAGAAGTGGAGGAGAACATTCTGAGGATGAAGGACAGCTAGAGAAAATGCCCTGAGTGGAGAGATGGGGTGTCTTATTCTAGGAACAGCAAAGAGGCCAGTATGTAGTGGACTAAAGAAGATGTGAGGAGTAAGGTGTAAGAAGTACCTGGAAAGGCAGAAGGGAGGAGGAATTATGAAGAGCTTTGATTTTGCTTTTGATCCTGGAAGGAAGCAATAGGAAACCACTGGGGAGGGTAACATAGCCCAACCTTTGCTTTAGGAAAAGCACTTTGGTGGCTGAATGAAGGATGGACTGGGCTGGGGAGAGAATTGAGGCAAAAGACCCACCAGCAGGCTATCGCAATAGTCCAAGCATAAGTTGATGAGGGCTTTGGACCAGGATAGAAGCAGTATCAGAGGAGAGAAGGGGACACATCAGACATGTTGCAAAGGGTGAAGTCTTCAGGCTTTGGCAACAGAGTGGATATGGCGGGATGACAGTGAAGAATTGAAGATGACACCTAAGTTGCAGTCTAAGGGACTGGAAGGATGGTATTGACTTCAATAGTAATAGGGGAGTTAGGAGGGTGGAAGACTTAGGCAGGGTTCAGGAACCTGTGGCCTCAAGTGATCCTTTGACTGAATTCAAACTTCACAGAACAAATCCCTTAATAAAACGATTTGTTCTGTACAACTCAGACTCAGTCAAAAGGCCACACTTGAGGACTCAGAAGGCCACATGTGGCCTCAAGGACACAGGTTCCCCACCTCTGGTTAGGGGAAAAGTTAATAAGTTCACTTTTTACATACAGACAACTTTGAAAGACATGAGAACTCTGATTAATGCAATGACCAATCATGATTCTAGGAGGCCAATGATGAAGCATGCTACCCACCTCCTGAAAGAGTAGATATGGACTCAGAGAGCAGAATGAGACATTTTTTTTGGCGGGGGGAACATGGGCAATTCAAGAATTTGTTTTACTTGTCTATGCTTATATTACAAGAATTTTCTTTTTCTTCTTTTTTCCCAACTGAGGCATGGAGGAGAACAGGGAAGAAGGAAGGGAGATAATTTTGTTGTTGTTAATTTTAAAAAATGAAATTATATTAAAAAAGAAATAAATCAAATAGAAGAACAAGATGCGTTTTACTGTAAACACATATGAACTTCCTTTTTTGAAAGTGTGTTTCCTCCCTTCTATACTGTGTGAGTATGGACACATACACACACATATATAACTATACACGTTATCTTCTTATTAGATTGGGAATCATTAGTTTTATGTAAATGTATGCTACATTTAAGAGATATATACACACAATGTGGAATGTAAATGGTTGTGAAAATGCAATTTCTATGTTTTCCAAACACCTGACTCATAATCAACTAACTTTTTTTGGGGGGGGGAGAGTGGAGGAGAGGGAGTCAAAGAGGCGTAACCATCTTGATTTTTCCTTATAGGTATAAACATTCCCAGGGTTTGTTATAAATGATTTTAATTTTTACCTCGAAGTATAATATTAACAGTATTACTTAACAGTATTAATAGTGTTTCTTCTTTATTGAATCTAACATGGTGGAACCAATGCTACCCTACTTCTCTCTGTCCTCTTCTAGACTTCCTTTGCTCTCTTCTTTGTGTTTTTAATGGTTTCACTGATGTTCTTTTCTTCCTTTTCTATTTGTTTTGCATCATCACTACCCCCACTTTCCCCCCAAACTCTACTGCTCTCAGAAAAAGGCCCTCACTTCTAAAAAAAATAAGTATAGTTAAGCAAGACAAATTTGTGTTTGTATTGCTCCCGCCTAAAAATATAAGTCTCACTGACACCATCACCTCCTCCCCAAGAGGGAGGAATCATTCTTCCTCATAAGGCTTCTCATCACTGCACTCATCAGAGCTCTTAATTCTTTTAAACTCGTTTTCCTCTATAACATTAGAGTCACTGTACATTGTTCACTTGGTTGCTGATTCTTGGTATCCCAATGAAGGTTTTGGCCTCAGCCTGTACTTGGTCTCTTTCTTCCTGGAAAAAATCTCCAACCTTTAGTGGGCTCTGTTCCTTGCTGTGGCCCTGAGAGGCCCCCACCAGGCATGAGTTGTGGATTCTCAAGGAAGATTCCTGCTGTTTACGCCGCCCAGGCACTGCCCTATCTCTTACTGCCCCCTGATGCTGACTTCTGCGGCACTGTGGCATCATTCTCCTTTTGTTCATCTCCAGTTTGGGTCTACAGGTTTCTGGCAGTCATCTTGCAAAGTTCTGGACTGGAGAGGATCATGAGATTTTAGGTTTAGAGCATGAAGAGGACTTTAGAGTTGTTTCACTCTGGGGTTTTTTTTAAAATCATTATTCCTTCTGGTACTTCTTTTAGAATTTTGCTAGGTTTCTCTAACACCTTTCCTGTTGTAATCTTAACCTTAAGTACTTCCGCATTTTTTAAACTGAGAAAAAAAATCTTATACTTCCTACTTTAAAAATCAGTGGACCAGTGGAAATTCATAGCATTACAGTAAGAACAACAGAGGAGGAGAAGTACAGAAATTGAAATTCCAGTCACAGCTCTACCATCAACTAGATGACCTCTGGTTAGCTGTTTAACTTTTCTTTTTTTCTTCTTAGCAAAAACTCAATTTACTCAAGTGGGATAGCAAGAACAGTAGTTACAAAACATTCAACTTCTCTCCCCTCCCCCCAAACCCTGGAGTGCAGTCTTCCACAAATATACTCAAGAGTGAAGGAGGACAGGGCGCACAAACTTCAAGAATCGTGTATACTTTCAGAGAGCCCACATTGCCAAGGAAACACAACTCTTGAAATGCAAAGCCTCAATGTCCTTGCTGTTTAACTTTTCTGGTCTACTTCCTTCATTTGTGAAAGGACAGGATCCAAACAGATCTTTAAGAATCTCCCCATTTTTACAATTTTATGATTTTATGACAGTGAAAATTTGGAATCGCAAAGTATTTTTAAAGCAATTAAACGTTAAAAACTTGACTTCTCAGGAGTCTGAATAACATTTCTGACTAGAACTAAAATCCTTAGAAGGTCCTGTAATTACTTTATTAAATAGAGAAGTATCACATCAATTAACATTCTTTGTATGTAATCAAATCCTATTTCCAAAGTAGTTACAATTGGCTGAAATTAGTGAAAGCAAATTGTTAAACCTTCAGTGTGTGTATTTTTATGTTAGAAATAGGTGAGTATACAAATTGGGGTTTGACTTATTTTAATGACTGTCTAGACTTAAGAAAACAGAGAAAATGTCAATAATATAGATTAAACTTTTTGTCAGAGATACAATTATTAAACATTTACCAGCCTATCCTTGGCTGAAATATGTATTCCATATTTACAATACTGTAAACAGCTTTTCCGCAGATGATAGAATAGTAAACTTCGGGGACACACGTCCAGCAAGTTCCAAGTTAATCCTTTTTTTTTTTTTAGGCAACTGGGTTAAGTAACTTGCCCAGGGACATACAGCTAATAAGTGCCAAGTGTTTGGTCTGAGGCAGGATTTGAACTCAGGTCCTTCTGATTCCAGGGCCAGTGCTCTATCCACTGAGTGACCTAGCTACCTCTCCAAATTAATTCTTGAAGTTTCCCAGAAGCTACTGAATCATCAAAAGCAGCTAGATACTGCAGTGGACAGAGTACTGGCTTAGGAGTCAGGAGGACTTGAGTTCAAATCTGATCTCAGACACCAGCTGTGTGACCCTGGGCAAGTCACTTAACCCCAACTGCCTCTGTTGTTTGGTTGGGTTTTTTTGGTCTGTAAAATGAGTTGGACGAGGAAATAACAAACCACTCTAGCATCTTTGCCGAGAAAACCCCAAACGGGGTCAAGGAGAGTTGGACACAATTGAAATGACTCAACAACAACAAACTGAATCATCAGAAGTGCATTAGACACCTTGATGTCTGAGAGGGGAGAGTAATTTGATTGACATCATCTAACAAGCGTCATAACTTTCATATTATACATCATTTGAACAGGGGTTACCATTCTGACCTAGTAGCTGAATAAAAATAAATTGCCTAAAGTCATAAGGGACAGAGTGGTCAAACGAGGATATAAAAAACAAAAGCTTCCACTCTAAACCTGGCCTTTTAGTCTCTTATTTCATACCACCCTCCTAGAGTAATGGCAACACTTCCCATACAGCTGCATCTCCTGTCGACCTAGAGCAGCCGCAGTATAACAGTAATGCTGGTGGGGGTCAGGGGCAGCTGTTCACTGATTCTTCCTTAGTGCTTTAAGGTTTAACAACCACCTGATGCACATCATCTCATGGTTGTCACAACAGTCTTGTGAGTAATTACTATTATCCCCATTCTCCAGAGGAGGAAACTAAGGCTTGGTGGGAAGTGCCATTGATCATGTTATCAGTAAATATAGGAGTTAGGATTTGAATCTAGATTTTCTTGATTTCACATCCAATGTTCTTTCCACTAAATGCCATGCTGATACCTCTGAGAACAAATATGCCCAAATCTTCTCTGAAATATTAGAGAATTGTTGCTGTTCAATTGTTTCAGTTGTGTCCGATTCTTTGTGACCCCATTTGGGGTTTTCTTGGCAAAGACACAGGAGTGGTTTGCCACTTCCTTCTGCGGATCATTTTACAGATGAGGAGACTGAGGCAAATGGGGTTAAAGGACTTGCCCAGGGTCACACAGCTAGTTAAGTGTCTGAGGCCAGACTGAACTCATAAAGATGAGTCTTCTTGACTCCAGGGCCCAGCGCTGTAGCCGATGTGCTACCTTGAAGATAAAAATATGCTTAACAGAGAAGATAAATAATCTATACATTGGGTATCATTTACATACAGTTTTCATAAACCATTCTACTTTAATAAAACTGAATAAGAAGAGAATTACTGACTTGATTTCTTTACCCCATAGGGTAGTGCAATCTTCTCACTTCCATGAGAGTGGCTATTGTTTTTAAATCACTTGTACACATGAAAGGATATATTCCACGAAAACTGAGGAAGTAAAAAAGAAAGTTTGATTTTATTAAATACTATAATAGCTTAATAAAGTCAACTTATAATACCTACATTGTATTACTTTGCTGTGCTTGAGTCAACAAGTCAAGTCATTTCTTAAGTTCTTACTATAGGTCAGGCAGCTTGGGCTTAGTATAGTTTTAAGCTATTAAAGCTTAATAGCTTTAAAGCTTTAATATTAAAAGTTAATTTTAGATATTCAATTAATATGACAGTGAAAATTATTACTATCAATTATTATCAATAATGAAAATATCACAAATTTAATATGATATTAAAGTATTAAAATTAAAGCTTTTATTAAAGAACTAATAGTTTTAAACTGCATTAAGAATTTTGGGACAACCTGTATATAAACTTTATTATATACTTTGTACAAATGTCTGCATATGTATGCAAATATATACACATATGTGTATGTATACATACATTGAAGCTACGAGGTTAGATGATATCTATCAGATCAAAGAGGATTAGTGCTAGGGATAACATATGCAGCCAGTCAAAGAAATTATGACTCATGTAGAATGTATTCAGACCATGATACTGCTATAATAAAAGTTAAAATATAAAATTAAAAGGAAGGATAAAGATTATAGCATATGGCCCATGGCTAGAGCCTCTCCAACATGGCATATTCCAACAAGCTATTGACCATGAAATATGGGTAAATAAAAATATATTGATATGGATTATCAATTTTTTTATGGAAGTTTAGTGGATATAAAGCAACTAGCACAATAAAGAGGTTAAAAGAGCCCAGAAATTGTATTCTTACAAGACAGAAAAACCGTGGCAGCCAAGTATAACAGACGTGGATTAAAAACTCAACTGCAAAATGTTACTGATGAGACAGATTAGAAGCAACATTGCCTGAAAAACAAGGAGAAGGACTGAAAGGGAATCATTCAAAGAAAATTTGATACGAGATCATATGAAGCCATGTCATACCAAGAATATTAAAGATGGAATGAGAAGGAGAATAAGCAAAAAGCAGAACAGCTCTGATATAATTTTTCTAACTAACTATTGGCTTTATCTAGTTAGAGCAGAACTACAACATTTAGCCTTAATAGAGGAGGATGAAGAGTTGAACTAAGTAAACCATTTGACATCACAGTAACACAGTACTATGCTCCAACAACTGATGCCAAAATTGATCAGCTCTATGAAGACCTACAACGTCTTCTAAAAATAGTACCTCATAATGGGATTGGAATGCTAAAGTAGGAAATCAAAAGATAATTGGAATAACAGGCAAGTTTGGCCGTGGAGTACAAAATGAAGCAGGGCAGAGACCAACTTTTGTCAAGGTAACTTTCTGGTCATAGCAAACAGTCTTTTTCAACAACCCAAAAGGCAACTCTACATATGCATATCACCAGAGGGTTAATATAAAAATCAGACTGATTATATACTTTATAGTCAAAGGTGAAGAAACTCTATACAGTCAGTTAAAATAAGAACTAGAAATGATTGCAGCTCCGATCACGAGCTTCTTATTGCAAAATTCAGACTTAAATTTTAAAAAGTAGGGAAACCCATCAGACCATATAGGTATGACTTAAATAACATCCCTTATGAATATGAAGTGGAAGTGACAAATAGATTTAAGGGATTAGATCTGGAAGATTGAGTGTCTAAAGAACTATGGACAGAGGTTTGCAATATGTACAGGAGGCAGCAAAAAAAAAAAATCCCAAAGAAAAAGAGCAAGAAAGCAAAATGGCTATCTGATGAGGCTTTGCAAATAGCTGATGAAAGAAGGAAAGTGAAAGTTAAAGGAGATGTGGAAAGATACACCTAAGTGAATGCAGAATTCCTGAAAGTAGAAAGGAGAGATAAGAAGGTTTTCTTAAATGGGCAATGGAAAAAAATAAAACAATAAAATGGAAAAAGAGATCTCTTCAAGAAAATTAGAGATATCAAAGGAATGTTTCATGCAAAAACAGCCATGATAAAAGAAAAAAATAGTAGGGACTGAACAGAAGTAGAAGAGATTAAGAAAAGGTGGCAAGAATATACAGAACTATACAACCATACAAGAATGATCTTAACAGCACCAATGTTTACTGATCTAGAGCCATACATCCTAGAGAATGATGTCAAGTGGGCTTTAGGAAGCATTGCTAACAATAAGGCTAGTGGAAGTGATAGAATTTCAGTTGAGCTGTTCAAAACCCTAAGATAATGCTTCACCAAATATGCCAGCAAATTTGGAAAACTCTGCAGTGACCATTGGATCGGAAAAGGTAAGTTTATGTTCCAATCCTAATGAAGGGCAATGCCAAAAAATGTTCAGATTACTGAATAACTGTACTCACTTCACACACCAATAAAGATATGCTTAAGAACCTGTAAGCTGGGCTTCAGCAATATATGAACTGAGAATCACCAGAAGTGCAGGCTGATTTTCAGAGAGGCAGAGAAACTGGAGTCTAAGCCAACATCCACTGGATTATGGAGTAAGCAAGGGAGTTCCTGAAAAACATCACTTCTGTTTCACTGGCTACACTAAATAAGCCCTTTGACTGGGAAACGATTTTTACTGCCAGTGTTTCTGATAAAGGCTTCATTTCTAAAGTATATAAAGAACAGAGTCAGTTTTATAAGAATACAAGTCACTGCCCAATTGATAAATGGTCAAAGGATATGAACAGGCAGTTTTCTGATGAAGAAATTAGTTACCTATAGTCATATGAAAAAATGCTCTAAATAATTATTGATTAGAAAACTACAAATTACAACAACTCTGAGGTACCACCTCACACCCTATCAGATTGGCTAATATGACAAAAAGGAAACTGATAAATGTAGGAGAAGATATAGGAAAACTGGAATACTAATGCATTGTTGGTAGAGTTGTGAACTGATCCATTCATTCTGGAGAACAATTTGGAACTATGCCCAAATGTCTATAAAACTGCACATACCCTTTGACTCAGCAATACCACTTCTAAGTTTGTATCCCAAAGAGATCAAAGAAAATGGAAAGGGACTTACACATACAAAAATATTTATAGCTCTTTCTGTGGCAGCAAAGAATTGGAAATGGAGGGGACGTCCATCAATTGGTGAATGATTGAACTTATAGTGTATGATTATGATGGAATACTATCTTGCTATAAGAAGTGATGAGCAGGATGGTTTCAGAAAACACTGGGAAGACTTACATGAACTGCTGCAAAGTGAAGTGAACAGAACTAGGAGAACACTGTACATAGTAAGAACAATACTGTAATGATGAAGTCTGAGTACAGATTGCGTTTAATTTTTTCACTTTATTTTTCTTGCTGTGTTTTTTGTAATATGGCCAAAATGGAAATAGGTTTTGCATGATTTCACATGTAAAACAGATATCATATTGCTTGTCTTCTCAGTAGGTGGGGGAGAGACTGAAGGGAAGAAAATAATTCAAAATTTACAAATTTTTAAAAAGAATGTTAAAAATAAATAATAAATTCATTTTAAAAAAAAAGAACTGGGAGAATGATCTAAATCCAACACCCTCATTTTAAATATGAGAAAGTGGAGGACAAGAAAAGTTAGAAGGTTTGCCCAAGGTCACATATGACAGGGCCCAGATTCAAACCCGTCTTCTCATTCCAAGGATTTCCTGTTTCCTACTTAAACCTTCATCAAAGATGTCCTCAATCTATATGTGGACTGTTCTCATAAAACTTTATATATGTGGGAAAGTAAATTTAGTAATAATGGACATTTTCTTTATAGATTTTTCATCATTAATATAGTCAAAGATTTTTTCCCTGCCTTTGGTATCTTCCATGGTTTCAAATACTTTGTGAATCATTCCATGGTGTCCTTCAGTGCCTGGTGACCTCTAGCATAGCTCTCTTCTGTGTATACTTGGCCTAATACTGTTGCTTTCCCCATAAATTTTTTTCTTTAGTACCATTTTTATATACCCCTACCTTTCCAGTCTTGGTACATCTTGTACTCCCATCCCCTCCCTCACCTGCTCTTTGATACAATCTCAAACAAGACATCCTTTCTCTTGTCCAGGCATTTTCACTGTCTGGTCCTTATACCTGGAATGATCTTCCTCCTCACCTTTTCCTCCAGGCTCCCCTGGCTTCCTCTAAGTCCTAGCTAAAAACTCATCTTCTGCAGGAAGCCTTTCTTGATCCCTTTTAATTCCAGCACCTTCTCTCTGTTGATCACTTCCAGTTTATCCCTTACATAGCTTGTCTGTATATAGTTGTTTGCATGTTGTCTTCTCAATTATAATGGGAGGTCCTTAAGACCAGGGACTGTCTTTTCCTCTTCTTTTCTATCCATACTTCTCAGCACAGGCCTGGCACAGAATAGGGGCTCATGCTGAGGACTGGGATGTTTCAGACCAGTTGTGTTGGCTCCATTTTCCTTGATGATATAAAAATTTTGTTATGAGAATCTTAGCCAGTCTTTCCTATGTTTCTTCTATTTAGTGTCCTCCTTCCATTTTTATCTTTGAATACTGGTAGGCTGATTTCGCTTAGATGGGTCTCTTGGAATATACTATTACATATGACTGCTAAACTCCTTTGTTTTGCTTAGGTTTCTCCTTTGTGGGTGGGAGGATTCACTGGGAAGTAAAAGCAATTTTTTAAAAAGTATCAAAACATTTATTTAAAAAATTTGAGGGGGCAACTAAGTGACACAGTAGTAGAGCACCGGCCCTGGAGTCAGGAGGACCTGAGTTCAAATCCAGCCTCAGACACACAACATTCACTAGCTGTGTGCCTCTGGGCAAGTCACTTAACCCCAAAGGCTTCACCCAAAAAAAAAAAATCAAACAAACAAACAAAAAATTTGACAGTGGGATGAATAAGAAGTATGGGTAACTGACCTTTAAATGAAAGGAAAAACACAAAACTGAAGCTTCCAGCCACTTTATACTATTTTAATCTTTAGAGTAGGGAACTTTTCATCACTACTTATTTTGGGTTCATTATACAGATACAACAGAGTTAAGGTGACTAAAGGAAGGAAAAGGCTGCTTTTTATTTATAAATTCATTATATTTCCTTATACCTTAAGGCAGATTAATTAACATTTATGCTAAGTGTAAGTTATTACACAATGAAAATTGGGGCAACTTTCTAAGCCTGAAAGTTAATCTCTGAAAGCAAGAAAAAGAGGCAAATTAGAGAATAACAGAACATCATAGAAAAAAAATTTTTTTTAAAAAGAGAAGCTGCCAAATGGTTGACCTTTTCATCGACAAATCCCGTCTAACCTCACTCAGGCAAACAGACACAAATTTCAGAGTTCTTTAGAAGAACTCTCTTTCTAAAGCTAAGCAACAGGATATTCAGGCTTTCTCTTGTGTATGTCTGGTTGACAATGTTACAATGAATGTGACTATTCTTTACCTTTGCCTTAAAACAAAGGAGCATAAGAAAAATGGCTTTGAGACAAAACAGTGACAACATCCCACATTTCCCTTTTGATTTTTACCTCAGTAGAGACTCAAAAGCAGGCTTCAATGGACAAGACAGCACTGGCGACCTTTTCATTTCTGTAACTCGTAGCCTACGAGACAAAAACAGGAAATAATTGATTGACTGGTGGCCTGCCAAAAGGAAAACAAATCCTTCTGAAACCTCAGTAACTTCTCTTGGAATTAATCATTTTGCCCACCCCAGACCTATGATTTCATTGTTGTAAGGAACTCTCTCTAACAATGCAGATAAGTAATAATGCTGCTTCCTATTAGTGTAAATAGCTCCAATTCTAAACATCTGGGGACATGATTAAAATATAATTGGGCAATTCTGAACAAAATCAATAAAAACACAATAGAATGAAGATTATGTTAACTTTTGGCTAAGTCAACAAGTGGCCGGCAGTGATTATTATGTACAGTCTAGTGGCCCCTGTTTTCTACTTGAGTTTGACACCACTGGCCTGGAGCAGCACCAAGAAATTAAATAACTTACCCAGGTTCACACAGGCCATTCTACATAAAAAGAAGGATTTCAATCCATGCCAGCTCTATCTGCTACACCCTGCTTCTGTAGGTTTCCTGCAGAAGGTGTGACTTTAGTTCAGAGAAAGAGTGGCCTGAAGGCCATGGGCTGATGGAAAATGAAGACGGGTCAGGAATATAACAGAAATTGGGGAAAAGAGAATAAAAATCTATCTCATTCATTTAGTCTCAAATCAACATTCAAGAACAGAACTGAGGTTCCCACCTTCAAAAGAAAAAATGTGCCTCTTCTGGGTGGATTAAACCTGACTGAAATATTTTTTTAAGAGTTATCAAATCTTAAGGTGAAAAGGATCTCATTGGTACCTCCCAGTGGGAGTGGGAATTATTAGAAGCAAAGATGGGGAGGAAGTGTGTTACAGGTAGGCCTGGGGAGAAACCTGTGCAAAAGCAGATGTGAAAGAATGAGCCTCAAAGGTCTGTCAGGAACTAGTTATCCAGTTTTTTGATTTTGGGGGGGGGGTGAGGCAATCAGGGTCAAGTGACTTGCCCAGGGTCACACAGCTAGTAAGTGTTATGTGACTGAGGCTGGATTTGAACTCAGGTCCTCCTGACTCCAAGGCTGGAGCTCTATGCACTGTGCTACCTAGCTGCCCCTATTTATCCAGTTTGGCTAGAAGGCAAAGGTCATGGGAGTGAGCAGTCTGTGGAAATTAGGAAGTCAGATAGGAGAGGACTTTAAAAGCCAAAATAAAGAAAGTGCGCTTCATCCTGTCAGCAATGTGGAGTTACTGAAGGATTCTGAGCAAGGGACAAACATGGCCAGACCTGGGGCTTAGGAGGATGATTTTGGCAGCCGTGTAAGCACATACTGGAGGAAGGAGAGACTGGAAGATGGGAAAATGATTTAGAAGCCTTTTCCAGTAATCCAAGGAAATGGGGATGAATTCCTTAACTAGGGTGCTGGCCATGCGAGTGGAGAAAAGGGGACCAATTTTATGGCAGTAGAATGGACAACAGTAGGCAATTGATTCACATGAGAGGAGAGTCAAGGATGACTCCTCAATAGAAATACTAAAGCCGAAGGTCAGGAAGGCAGCTAGGCAGTTCAGGAGACAGAACACTGGATGTGGAGTCAGGAAAACCTCAGTTCAAATCCAACATCAGATGCTTACTATCTGTGTGACCCAGGGCAAATCACTTACCTCTGTTTGCCTCAGTTTCCTCAACTGTAAAATGGGGACCTTCAAGAAGAAAATAGCAAACCACTTCAGTATCTCTGCCAAGAGAAGCCATAAAAAATGGGGCCACAAAGAGTTGAACCTGCCTAATACAACTTAACAACAAAAAACAACAAGGTTAGGGTAGCTTTACGAGTATAGAAAGAATATACAAAACAATGAATCAACAGTGAAGGTTGAAGAAAGACAGATTTAGGCTGGGTTCACAATTCACTGTAGGGAGAAAAGACAAAAAAAAGCAAAAAAAAAAAAAGGTTATAATGATTAGAGTTGACCAAAAGTAGAATGGGAGGTAGTAGGCTCCCATTGATTGAGGTCTTTGAAAAAGGCCAGGGGCAGCTAGGTGGCACAGTGAATAGAGCTCTGACCTTGGAGTCAGGAGGACCTGAGTTCAAATCCAGCCTCAGACACTTAACACTAACTAGTTGTTTGACCCTGGGCAAGTCACTTAATCCCAACTGTCTCACCCCCAAAAAAAAAAAGGCCAGAGGACTCCTTTGTCAGGTTGGATGTGGACTTGGTTCTTCTTGGCTGTCTTCCAGCTCTCACATTCTGCTGTAGTTCCTTTACTGCAAGGTAATTTGAAAGGAGAGACTTGACCAGACTAAGGACCAAGAGGCTCGGGTCTGATTTTGTTTTGGGCTTGTGAAATTCCAGCTGTGTCTCAGAGCAACTGTTAGGATCCATCCTGAGCCTTATTCCAGCTTTATGGGGGGATCCCTTCTCCAACCAAACTTAGAAGCCTGACATTGGAATTGGTTTTGGCATGCTCCATCTAAAACAGTATGGCGGAGTGAAAAGGAGGGTGGAGGGGAAAAAGGAGGGATCTGCACGGGGAAGGAGCATTTGACTGGGAAACACTAAGACAACTTGGATGTATAAAGTATAGGCAAATCTAGCTGTGTTCTGGTGCCAGCTTCAATCAGCTGGTGATAATCAGTTGTTAAATTTTCAGTGTGAGAATTTACACCTCAAAAATCAGCAAATGCTACAAATCAGGGTTTGATTTATTGCTTTGTTAATTAAGTGATGAACAAAAGTTAATGATGTGAATTAAACTTGAAAGTGTGTCCTATGTACATTTTTGCCCCAGAGAGCCAGCTGTTTAAACATTTATCAGAACACCCCTGGAATATTTAACATAACTATCAGTGATGAATCAATAAATTTCCTTCTCTACCTCTATCCCTGTTCTATTATCTCTGCCACATCTCAAAAGAGATCCCAGCGGCACTGAGTCCTTCTTTCTGGAAGAGTTTTCAATGACTCGCTAAGTACATTTCCCGCTCTTCCTACCTAAGAAGCTTTTATAATTGTTGGCACCTAAGGAAGTGAGGAACCAAATGCAGAAGCACACCCTAAATGTATCATTAGTTTTCAAATACAAGCTAAGGAAGAACTAGTTAGGACTTGATGCTGAACCGGAGAGCTTACAGGAGTACTTCTTTTCATGCAAAAGGAAACTAGCATTTAATTTATTTCAACTTAATCATCAAGGTCACATGCTCTGTATTTTAAAGGTCACTGAAAGGTATTTTTAATCACAGATCTCTGGGCATAAGGTGGGGAAAAAAATGCTGCCCAAACTAATGTCAGAATAGAAAATTCTTTCTGGGGAAGTTTTCACTCTATCAAAAGTGCACATAAATATTAAAAGTCTTCAATATGTAATGTTTCAAAGAAGACTCACTATATAAAAAATAATTTTGCATAAAATGGAAAAACGATATTCATGAAATATTTGAAGCCCCGTGCATTACACAAATATTGCAGTTTCATCAGCCTAAACATCATGGGTTTCCAAAAGGAATTTTGAAGTGGAGACAAGACACGTATTTATCCTTATTACTATCTCTAAATACGTACTACTCAGTTTTTCAACATAAAGTTGTCAACATTTAATTCAGGTTTCAGGGATGAAAACATCATTTGAGATAAATTTAGTTTAGTTTTTGACTCCCACCAATACCACAAAGTCAAAGAAGCCACTCCTCCATTAGTTCAATTAAGCCTGGAGCAATAGCAACAAAGTATAATCTGTACCTAGGACAGCTAGGTAGCATAGTGGATAGAGTTGCCAGGCTTGGAGTCTAAGAGACTCATCATCTTCATGAGTTCAAATCTGGCCTCAGACACTTGCTAGCTATGTGACCATGGGCAAGTCACTTAACCCTGCTTGCCTCAGTTGTCTCATCTGTAAAAATGAGCTGGAGAAGAAAATGGCAACCCCCTCCACTATATTTGCCAAGAAAACTCCAAATGGAGTCATAAAGAGTTGGACGTGACTGAAAAACGAGTCAACAACAAATAATCTACAACATAAAGAGTTGAGGCTACACCTTCTTTTGTAATCAATAATATATTGTCATGATTTTTTACAAAGCTTATTTGCATACATTATGAATCATTTTAACAACTCTGTATGGTGGGCATTGCAACTATTATTATACCTGTTTCACAGAGAAAGAAGTTGAGGCTCAGAGAGATTAAATGATTTGCAACTCTTACAGCTACATAAGGAGGAATGCTAAGAAGTGTATCTTGGTCCCCTGATTCTAAATCCCATGCTCTGTCCATGATATTATTACTCCTGGATGCTATCTCTCTTCCCACCATACCACACTGCTGCTTGCTTTTTTAAAAAGAAAGTCTGCTGAAATACAAGGCTTTATTAAGTAAACGTAATATCTTCGGCGGACCTACTTCCACAGTAGAGCTAGAGTGTTTTTATTACAATTAATATCTACATGGACATGAGGAGAGATTCAGGAAGTCCCTGATGATATTTATCTCTACAAAAACCTCATTTCAACATATATTTACAATAAATTAACCAATCAGGGTGTTTTCTTTCAACAGAAAAATAAAAACTTACCAACTGATATTGTCTCTCCACAAAATGCAATGAAGTACATAATAGAGAAAGACACAACTCAGAATTATGAACACCAGGTATCCTCTCATTTCTAGCACACCTGAAATCACAATACATGGAGTTATATGTTTCATAAAGCTATTGGCCCGAGAGAAAAGAAAAGAGAATCATGGTTATTACACAAATACAGGCATAGAAAGGAAGAAATAACAGTGAAGAGATGTATACATTTCAGAAATGTCAGGGAAAGAGGAAACGTGAATTTTTCATCATGTGATAGAAGGCAAATTATTACATAGAAAATTCACTACAAGTTTCCTATATTTGGAGAAAAACATGTCTCATGGAATGATGTGTTCATAGTAATCAACACAGGGTTCCACATGTGGAACTCTAGACTAGAGGAGAGTGTAGACTGTTCAAGTTATGACTCTGCTTCTAATTAGCTGTGTGACGTTGGGCAAATCAGTGCCCTTCTCTAGACTTCAGCTTTCTCATCTGTAAAGGTTTAGATGCATTCTAAATTTCCTTCCAGGTCTAACATTCAATGAGTTTGCGATTCATATTCAAAAATTATTCTCTTTCCACAAAGAGTTAAAGAAAATCTATCTTTCTCTTTCTCAATATGGGAAATGAGTGAGTCTTCCATTGTAAAAAGTATTTTCTTATTTATGAGCTTGATATGATTCTTTAAAAAGCTAATTTTATAATTTGTTCCTAAGTTCCTACTTAAATATAATTCAAAGATGTAAAATACAATAGGAAAGGAAACTACTGAAAACACTTCTAAAATCCAGAATTAAATTTTATATAATTTTAAATGTTGCTATTACTTAGATGATAATGATGCCTGACAGCTAGAGTGCTGGGCCTGGGTCAAGAAGACCTGAATCCTCCTAGCTGTGTGACCCTGGGCAAGTCATTAAATTTCTGCCTACTTCTGTTTCCTCAACTGCAAGATGGGCCTAAAAAAGCACCTGTCTTGTCAGGGTTATTTTAAGGTTCAAATGAGATATTGTAAAGTGCTCAGCACAGTGCCTGGTACACAGTAAGTACTTAATAAATGCTTATACATTTGACAATACCTGATTACTTTAACGTTTGCAAAGCACTTTACACACATCTCATTTAGCCAATAGATGTACCTATTATCATACATTTTTCCAGAAAAATATAAATGTAAAAAACTAAACAGCACATTAACATTCCAAATTTGTTAAATAAGTAAGCATTTTTAAAAGTTCCAATCTGCAATCTAAGTAAACTAGGGCAAATTAGTTAACATATTGTATGACACTGTAGTTAGTTAGCGTTGCTCTTGAATTCTAATAAAACACCAAAAGAATCTATGCAAAGAGCACTGGGCTTAGAGTGGAAAGACCCGGTCTCAGGTCCCATCTTGGTCCTTATTACATTTTGTGGGGCCTCGGCCAAATCATTTCACTACTCTACGCTTGTTTCCTCATTTGTAAAATCAAGGTTGAAAGAAGTTTCAAAGTAGGTGCCAATCTCACACACACACACATAGATAACCATGATAAAAACACTAATATGGTGGGTGGACACAGTGTCTCAAAACATGGCATCGTTGCTAGTGTTACTTAAGAGTTATTTTTCAACTACTGATCAACTCAAAGTGATAGTTTCTCTTTATAACAGTTACAGCAAAAAATCCCTATTTTGCAAAAACTAGATGTTATGGATGGTACTAAAAATCATATCTCTTTGATACACCACAGAACTTTCTATTCACATAGAGACAAAAAAAAATGTGGTAAGATTTTCAGGTTCAAATGCTTGCTTCATGGTACTATCACACGCTAAATCTATTCACTGTTCAGGTTTGGACAGCATAAGATCAAATGTATCATGTGTATCTATACTAAATATGACATATATATATACATATATAATATATATGTATATATATTTTCACATTTAGAATATCCAAGTCTTAAAAATAAAGTGATAATTGCTTCTGTTGAGCAGTCTAGAATTAATAAGAAAGTTATTATTTCTTCTATACCTTTTTCAGGGAAGAATTTTTTAAATTGGAAAACATATAAATATTATTTTGCAAAGTTATGATACGCAACTTGAACTTTTTTCAAAAATGACTATATGAACCTTTCTTTTTTTCATTTTTCATGACTTTTCATCGTGCTCCAGTGGCCTTTAAGCGTCTCTCCTTTTTTTTTTTTAAACACAATTTTATACATTCTTTCCTCCCTTTGTAAAAATGTTGTTTTTTCAGATCTGCTCCCTTTTTTGGTGCCTCACTGCCCTAGTGTGGTCACAGCAAGCATGATCCTTACGCATATGGACTTTGCCATACACCAAAACCCCACCAAGATGCTCTTATGCCTTCTGATGAAAGCCATACCCAGTACGGCTATCTTTCTACTAGAAGAGGTGGAAAGAGCAGGCATTGTTTGTTCTTATATGATCTATTCAGGAAAGAGGCATTCTGGCCATAGAACAGCCACTGAAATGGGACATGATGTAGGACTGGGGTGAATTTTTCCATTTTGAGAACCTTCAGGAATGATGACTGGAGTATCAATCTTCATATTCATGCTAGGAACCATAAGTAGATTTTTCTGTGCCATTTTTCAAGTACTTCTTAATGATGGAAAATTTTTAAACAAAAATAAGTGTAGAAGCTGAATGCCTTTCTCTATTTTAGCAGCCCTTTCATTGTATTTTTTTTTTGGTAAAAGAAACTGAATATTTCCATTTTTTTAACTTTATATTTCTGTTATTGCCTGTTATTTTTTTTCTCTTCCTTGCTTCTGATAGATGACTGACATGCTAAAGAAGGTAAGTGAAATGGATGAATATATACAAAAATAAAAATTGCCAAGATTAACAGAAGAGGAAATAAAATATTTAAATAACCACATTTTTAAAAAGAAATTAAACAAGCCATTAATGAACTCCCTAAGAAAAAAATCTCCAGGGTCAGATGGATTTATAAGTGAATCCTACCAAACATTTAAAGAACAATTAATTCCAATACCATATAAACTATTTGGGAAAAGAAGCAAAGATGCAGTCGTACCAAATTCTTTTTCTGATACAAATGGGGTATTGATACCTCAACCTAAACCAAAACAGAGAAAGAAAAGTATAGACCAAGCCTGTACAACTTGCAGCCAGTGGACCACTTACAGCCCTCGGGCTGCTTGCAGCATGCCAAAGAATTTCCTCTACATACAAAGGATGTTTTTCTCTATATTTTTCCCAGGCCACTAGAAATCTTCTGGTGTGCTGCAAGTGGCCCTAAGGCTGTAAGCAGCCCATGGGCTGCAAGTTATATAGACCTGTAAAGACCAATTTCTCTAATGAATATTGATGCAAAAATTTTAAATAAAATATTAGCAAAGAGATTACAGCAATTTATCATAAGGATAATACACTATAATCAAGTGAGATTTATACCAGGAATACAGGGATGGTTTCAATATTAGGAAAACTAGCAGCATAACTGACCATAGCAATAACAAAACTAACAGAAATCATATGATTATCTCAATAGATGCAGAAAAAACTTCTGACAATATACAGTACCCATTACTATTAAAAACACTAGAGAGCAAAGTAATAAATGGAGCTTTCCTTAAAATGATAAATAATATCTATCTCAAACTGTCAGCAAGCATTATCCACAATGAGGATAAGCTAAAAGCATTCCCAATAAGATCAAGGTTGAAACAAGGATGCACATTATCACCATTATTATTCAATACTGCACTAGAAATGCTAGCTTTAGCAATAAGAGAAGAAAAAGAATTGAAGGAATTAGAACAGGCAATGAGGAAACAAAACTATCACTCTATAGATGATATGATGATATACTTAGAGAATCCTAGAGAATCAGCTAAAAAACTACTTGAAATAATTAACAACTTTAGCAAGTTGCAAGATAGAAAACAAACCCACATAAATCATCAGAAAACAAACCCACATAAATCATCAGGATTTCTATATATTACCAACGAAGCTCAGCAAGAAGAGATAAAAAGAGAAATTCCATTTAAAATAACTGTAGATAATATAAAATATTCGGGAGTCTACTTGCCAAGACAAATGCAGGAACTCTATGAACACAATTATAAAACACTTTTCGCACAAATAAAGTCAGATCTAAACAAGTGGAAAAATATCAATTGCTCATGGGTAGGCCAAGCTAATGTAATAAACATTACAATTCTACCTAAATTAATTTATTTATTCAGTGCCATACTAATCAAAATACCAAAAATTATTATAATATAAATTAGATAATATATAGATTATATAATAGCATAAATTACAATATGACAACTATTTTATAGAGCTAGAAAAAATAATAACAAAATCCATCTAGAAGAACAAAAGGTACAGAATATGAAGGGAATTAATGAAAAAATGCAAAGGAAGGTGGCTTAGCCATAGCAGATCTAAAACTATATTATAAAGCAGCAATCATCAAAACTATTCGGTACTGACTAAGAAATAGAGTGATTGATGACTGGAATGGATTAAGTACACAAGACACAGTAATAGACGATTATTGCAATTTACTGTTTGACAAACCCAAAGACTCCAGCTTCTAGGATAAGAACTCACTATGTGACAAAAAAATGCTGGCAAAACTGGAAGATAGTATGGCAGAAACTAGGCACACCCCATAACAAGATAAAGAAAAAATAGGTATATGATTTAGACATAAAGGATGATACCATAAGCAAATTAGGAGTGCAAGGAATAGTTTTCATGTAGGATCTATGAGAAGGGAAAAATTTATGACCAAATAAGAGACAAAGAATATTATGAAGTACAAAATAGATAATTTTGATTACCTTAAATTAAAAAAGGTTTTGCACAGACAAAACCAAAGCAACCAGGTTTAGAAAGAAAGCAGAAAGATGGGAAACAATTTTTATAGCAAGTGTTTCTGATGAAGGCCTCATTTCTCAAATATATTGAGAACTTATTCAAATTTATAAGAATACAAGTCATTATCCAATTTGTAAATGGTCAAAGGATATGAAGAGATGGTTTTCAGATGAAGAAATTAAAGCTATCTATAGTCATATGAAAAATGCTCTAAATCAC